TTAAAACTTGAATATTATAACCGGATATTTGTGGCTAATTGAAGAAATTTCCGCGGACATATTATTTAATAAAAAAAAAGAAGGACAAATCTGGGGAATCCTACTATAATTTTTCTTAAGCATATTTTTTGTATGATACGTTATTTTAAATCTATATCTAAATAAAGACAGTATCTAATAAAAAAATTATTCAAATAATAACTACACATTTTAACAAATATTGTATAAATAAAATGCTCAATATGAGAGAATGAAAATGACGGTGATTTTTAAGTTAAAGTCAGTTTTTTACGAATTTAGTCGGCTAGTCGGATATTTGACAGCATTCAGTTTGATAAATTTTAGTTTTGAGGACATTTTTTTAATGGAGTCAGTCAGTACTTTGTAAGTATCGCCTCCCCCCCTCCGCCTTCTATTTTTTATTCCTAGAATCGCCTCTGTATTGTACTGCTTCAAAGCGTATATTTTTCAAGATGTTGGTATTTCTGTAAACATTATTTACAAGTTAACGTTTTTTCTCTATTATTGCATTTTGAATTTTTATTATGGGTTTGTTTTGTTATGCAATGACTTCGTAAAATCAAGCTTAAATAATTTTAAAATAAAAAATTTTATAATAAAAAAAATTTTAAAGTTTTTGCGTTGCACATTATAATGTAAAGATGCAAAATAGTATAAATAGTATAAATATACAAAACAAAAATTTTTCTTTTTTTTTTTTTCCTATATCATCCAACTAAATTGATTTTTTGTCGCATTTTAATAATATAACATATGTTGGGTACTTTTAAAAACTTAAAAAAAAATTGGTATTTAAGATTTTTGATTAATCGGTTACTAACACTGTTACTAATGTTGTACTAACACTAAAAGGGTCTGACTGGCGAAGTGGCATTTCTCCTTCTGGTTTTGGGTGACATTTTCGTACCCGGGCACTTGCGTGTTACTGTTTTTTGCAACGTATTAGGGCCCTATTTATCTTTCCCCTCCCCGGGCCCCTTAGAGCGAATCAGACCCTGCTAACTTATGTGTGATACAGAGGATTTTTAGACTGAGAATTGACTACTTAAAAAAAATACGAAAACAATTAAAAAAATAATTTTAGTTAAATATTTAAAAAATTTTAACAAAGAGTTTAAATATTAGAGTTAAAAATTTAAACTCCAATATTTAAACTCTTTGTCTATATTGTCTGTAAAAATAAAATAAAAAAAAACTTAAACTTTATTTTTACAGACAAAAGAGTTTAAATAAATTTATTTACCATAAATATATTTATGGCAAACTTTAAAAACCGTTGATGTGTTTTTTGCAATTTTAAAAATGATGCTTATGCAGTTTTTTTTGCATATATATTTTATGATAGAAAATGTTGTTTTATTATACAAATTAGCTACAACATTAAATAAATTAATATCTTACAATAAATAAAATAACAATTTTTACTAAAAATATCAAATTAATTGTCTTATACATATACTCTAACTTTTTTCCGAAAATAATCATGAGTGATCAACAGTTCCAAATTTGCGAATATTGCATATAAAAATGTTCTGATCATGCATATAATTTGCAAAATAAAAACATTTTAGCAAAATTTTTTTTTGCAAAAATATTTTTTAAAAAAAAAATTTTGCAAAAATATTTTTATTTTGACGGATCTTTTTTTTATTTAATTTATTTCTCCAACCATGGCTGTAAACTTCCAGTTATTTTATATCAATTATTATAATATTAACGAGGCTTTTAGAGTATAAAGGAAAATATATTAAAAAAGTACATTTCTACCCATAAAAATGTTGAGAAAAAACTACTTTTTAGATAGAGAAATAATTTTTTTGAATGTAATTTTTATTAGTTTCTGTATGTTTCTGTAAATAGGGTTGAAACATACAGAAACTAATAAAAATTACATTCAAAAAAAATTGGCTGAAATTCAAGTCTTCTTAGTTAAATTCGATATGAGTTTTGATGCCGCCCAATAACATTTTTATCCTTTTAAATGTCTCAATTTGTGATTTTATTCCCTTTCTTTTATTAAAAATGACCTTCATTTTAATCAAATTGTATAAATTAATTATAAAATGATTTGCTGTGATTTACCATTTTTAAATATATACCAAAAAAAACATATTTTAAGTTGATACATAATTTTTTATTCTTTTCTTATAATAATACTTTTAAATAAAGATAAAGATTTAAAATTTTTGTTAAAATTAAAATTTAGTCCAACGTTTTCAAATTATTACAGAAGGATACAAAAGTTAACAGAAATCACATTTAAGTAAGATATTACTTAAATTTGATTTCTGTTAACTTTTGTATCCTGAAATGATACAAAAAATACCTTCAATACCTGAAATACCGTCAATTTGAAGGTATTTTTTTACATTTATTTTTAAACCTATTTTAGTTAAAAGAATAAACGCACTGAAACATTTTTATAGTTTTTTTGAACTTCTTTTGAAGTTCAAAAAGAACTATAAAAAAATAATTTATTTTTGCAAACATGTTTCAGTGCGTCAATCACACTTGCTGTATTTAAGAACAAACATTAGTGTGTTTATTCTTAGGGGCTGTCCATAAATGATGTCAGTAATTTTTTCCTAATTTTTGACCTCCCACCCCTCCCCCTTTGTCAAACTCTGTCAATTTTTGGACGACCTCCCCTTTTATATGATATTAGTTTTTATGATATCAAGTTTGATAGTATCTCTCAACGTTCGAAAATTATGACCATATAAAGTTACAAGTTTTATACGGTCATATTTTTAAAACGCTGAGAGATAATACTATGAATGAATATAAGTCTAATTGAGATAAGTAAAAAAAAAATTTATACCAACTTGTTGTCTGGAAGTTATATCTGATAAATCCTGGTGTAATTTTTTAAATTAATTACTTTTTTTAATTTTAATTCTTTCATTTAATACTAATATTGCTTATTTGTATTTGTTTTATTTTGGACTATATGGATAGTCAAGGAAAAAATGTTTTTCAGATATTGCACAATCATAGTATTTAACTTTAATTTTTTAAGTTTATTATTTAATGCTATAAATGCTTAAAAAAATTATTTTTTAAGTTTATTATTAAATGCTATATTTCAGACAACAATATTAACATACTAGCTGGGGTGACCCGTAAAATACGGGTCTTTACCGAATCGACCATTTTTATACTTATCTATAGCTATCCGGACGTAAACTAAGGGTCTTAGTAAATCTATTCCCCACCGACCTTTTCTATACTTATTCCTTACCTCAATATTTTTTTAAAACCGTTTAAAAATGTACATATAAAAAACTATACTTACTTTTTGATATGACAAAAACATTTCTGTTAAAATGTTCTTTTAAAAACTTCAAACGATTTTAATATTATGCCGATTATAAAAATTTTAATAAGAAAAAACGTAAAAAAGACTACGAACTTAGAAAAATGCTAAAACATTCAACACGTGACGCCGTTAAAGTACGCCTTAGTTAACGTTCATAACATATACACATCTAATTAGATTTTATTTAAATTCAGTTGTTGCAAACTTGGTTTTGAATTTTTAATTACACTTCTTATGCGTCATAAATAATCTTAAATTCTAAATAGAAAATACGTTTATGGGCTAATTGGTAGACGCGCAACACTTAGACAGATATAGTCATCTTACCCCGGGAGTTCATACTCCAGTGACCTTTTTTTTCATCCCAACTTACAACAGAAGTAATTAAAAATAAATGTTATTATTGAAACAGTTTTAAACATTTCTTCCTATTTATCTTCGAACTTAACTTTATTCACTGCAAACATACTTTTGGTGTTTGTAAGCGTTATTTTACGTTTAGTATTTGTAGGAATTATTTGCACGCACGTATTTTAAACAATTATTTTTACTGTTTCATCTAAAAATCTTATTTAATTTAGTTTAATAATTTCTTAAATATAATATAGTTTAAAATATTTTATTAACCCTATTTAAATAAGTATCAAAACTCTTTTCTTTAATTTAAAAAGAATTTAAAATTAACAAATCATTCAAGCTTTTTTTACTGCCTAAGTTATTAAACCTGTTGTGTGTGCCAAAAATCGATACTTAATGCAAATGGAAACTTCGAGTGCTAATGGTGATTAAAGCATAAATGGTTCCTATTCATATATAATAAAAGGAAATATGAAAGACAAAGCAAAAATGATTTTTATATCCATTTAAAACAATAAATCCCAAAATAAAAAAATATAGATATTTACTTAAAAACATATTTTTCTTGATATAAAATAAAAATATAACCTTTAGTACAAATTACAAAAAAAAAATTTATTCAACAGAGCTACTTATAATACAATTTAAATTGAATCATTGTTTCATAAATATTAAGCTTTAGGTAAGCCATAATCAAGTCAGCTATAAGAAACGGAACTAAAAATGGAACAAAGTTATTTAAACGAATAATCATACACATTAATTACAAATTAACATGTCATGCAATCAATACTTTTGAAAACTCAAATATGCGAATAAGAAACTTACTTTTTTATTTTTACATAACCCTGACAGACCAACATGAATGTGAGCTAAATATATTTGCATAAAACATCACAACAATTAATTAAATAGCAGAACCACCTTCAAAGGACAAAAAAAATAGTTTTTTAAGGAAAATTAGAGTTATTGGGATGGGAGGTATTAATGAATAAAAAAGCTCAACTTGAATTTCAAAATTAGTTCATAGTTTTGTTGAGAGTTATTGAGTTATTCTGAGTTTATTATACATATTTTAAACTACTAACACCACACACTTATATTCTTAGTTCTGGAAGGTGCTGCATAGAATTTGATTGTGTGAAAACCAAATCCCTTTGAGATTAACATTAACTTTATCAAATGTATAACCGTGACTTTTATTTCTAGTTAATGAGCATTGTTGATAAAGGTGTCTTTATTTAAATGATTTACTTTGATAACATTTAACATTCATGGGAAAAATTAAAAAACAACACAAAAATAAATTTACAAAAATATATTACAAAAAAAAAAATGAAGTGGCTCAAAAGTTGTCAATTTCTTTACATTTTAAAATGTAAAAAAATTATTGACAACTTTTGAGCCACGTTGTCTTCTCCTCCCAGCATCCGCTCTATTCCCCGTGTTGTATGGTGTGCCATCCCTCCATCTAAAGGAGGGATGGTCGTCCCCATACAAACACCAGCGATGGAAGGCCCTCATAGATAGAGGGCCTGGATGCTGGGAGCGATACTTTCGGAAATCTTCCCATGACTTCGAGCCTGAAAAAAAAATTATATATAAATACAACTATCTACCTAGGTAATACTTACAAAAAATCTGCTGTAAAAAAACAATAAAAGCAAATAATGTAATAAATTAAGTACAAGTGAGCACAACAACTTATTTATTTTATTCACTAATACTTGACTTATTACATTAACTAATTAAACTGGAAAGCACATTTGTAGCTATATCAAAAAAAAAAAAGGTACAATGAAAGCAATCAATCAATGTAATAAGTCAAGTAAAGATGAATATAACAACTTACTTGTAACAGAAGAAGCAGCAGCTAGAGATAAATAAAAGAAAGTTAAAAATGCAATAAAACCAATTAATCCATAAATTAAGTCAAGTATAAGTGAATAGAACAACTTACTTGTAACAGAAGAAGCAGCAGCTAGAGATAAATAAAAGAAAATTAAAAATGCAATAAAAACAATCAATCAATGTAATAAGCTGCATTAGGATCATAGATATACAGCTGACAATATTTGGGCAGACAACCTTCTGCAGGCCTTAAATTTCCAACACGATGCAAAATTTGCCCACAGACCCTAAAACAGAAAGGGCTATTATTTGAGGGAGGAGCTATTTCGGCAGTGAAGGAAGCAAAAGATAAAGAGGAATTATAACTCCTTGTGTTTAAAAAAATTTTGATTTACAGCATGATCAACATGGTTTCCTGTCATTAAACCAGTCAACAATGGCGGATAAAGAGAAAGAGGAGCTAATACAAATTTTCTTGAATGGCAGCACAAAAAATGAGTTTCATTTAAAAACTTCTTTGCACTGCAATACTGACAATTATGGTTTAATTCTCCGAGGTAGTTACTCTCTATAGCAATATTATTTCTTGCTATGCGATGCATATTATACCTATTAAGTTCTCGCCTAGCCTGATTTCTTTCATTTTGATTACAATTTATCTCAGCTCGCCTGGGCTCATCTCTTTCAATTCGACGACGATTTATCTCAGCTCGCCGGGGCTCATCTCTTTCCATTCGACGACGATTTATCTCAGCTCGCCTGGGCTCATCTCTTTCAATTTGACGACGATTTATCTCAGCTCGCCTGGGCTCATCTCTTTCATTTCGATGGCGGTTTATCTCAGCTCGCCTAGCCTGCCTTCTTTCATTTTGACGAAGTCTAATAATTTCATTTCTTAAATTATTAGACATAATTAGGCATCAAAGGAGTGTGTAAAAATGATGCCTAATATAATAAAAGTTGAAGTTTCTTTTTTAAACTTATCTAAAATAAAGTGTAAGCAAATAATACAGAGCATAATACTATAATCTATTATATTCTACCATATATAGCATTGTATTAAGATAACATAGTTTTATTAAAAACTTAAACTAAAGTTATAAATTAATGTAATATTTTCAACTAAGTATTGTTTATATATTTATGGTAGTTGTTATCAATTATTGACAAAATATTATAAGTATTTAATCAAAAAAAAAAAAAAAAAAATGTAATTTAAAAAACAAATTTTTTACATATAAGAACTCATAAATAAAGCAAATTAAAAAAATTTAAGGCCTGTCAACTCAGCAGGTACTGCTAGCATGGAAGGATAAAATGTAATCATCCATCAACAAAACCCTTTCATTACTTTGAAAGACATTTAACGCAAGATTTGCAATAAATAAATACAAAACTACTAAAAGAACCTCTATAAACAATCATATATTTGCTTCAAGTGAAGAAACTTGGAAATATTGAAACTTCTTTTACTATTTTAATTTTTTTTTAGATATTTAATATTCTAAAGAAAAAGGGACAATAATTTAAGGCAAAAAAATTAAAATGTCTATACATATAATATATGTATAGACATTTTAATTCTATATATTTTATTGTGTGTGTGTCTATATATATACATATATATATATATATATATATATATATATATATATATATATATATATATATATATATATATATATATATATATATTGATGTACATGCAAAACATTAAAATAATAATATAAAGAAAACATTCTCTATACAAAAAATCCTAAAAATTTAACAAAAGTTATTAAAACTTATGCTTCAACACACTGTATACTTACTTTTATATATATAAAAAAAATTTGAGTTAAACATATTTAATGAAGAAAATCGAAACTCTTAAAAATTTTAATGAGGAGGAGCTGTTAGTAAAGCCTGCTTTTTAACAAAATTTATTTATTGTCAAAAGCATACATTTTTAAGAACAGAGGATAACAACATTAAAACACATTTTTTAAACAATATTTTTTCAACACATTTTAAAAATACACTAATTACAAACAGAATTAATTTATGTGTTTTATTATGACAATACACCACTCTGCTGGCGAGGACAATATTTTTGCTCTCAACAAAGCCAGGTCACATTATAGCAAAATACACCACTTGGCTAGCGAGGTCAACAATCTTGCTGTAAACTAAGCCCAGTCACAACAATTTGAAACCATGCAAACAACATAATTATCACTTACAAACTATAAACATATTACATATAACACACCACAAACATTGAAACATTTCATATATTTACACACTTACAAAATATAAACCCATATAACCTTAACACACATATACACAATAAAACACAATATAAATAACACACATATATAGATAAATATATAAATTAAGAAAAATATATAAATTTGAAACTTTACAAATACAACCTTATTTTTGTTTTTTGAAATACCTCGTAATAAATGTTTAACAACTTTCAAAAACAAACTATCAAACAATCTGGTTTTTTATACGGATTTTTATAACTTCTTTTAAATAAGGTATTAAACGATCTTGTTCTTTAACATGTAACATTGAGTTGACCGTGTGAGATGCAAGTGTTTTAAACACTAACTTTATCAAGAGTTTGACCTCTTGACCTTTGAAATGAGCAACGTCTTCTTGAGTCGTCTTTTAATTTAAAAGTTACAGATTAATTTTATAAATTAATAAATTTAAATACAATTGACAAAAGACTAAAATGCATGATTTAAATAAATCACCTGACTTTAAAAGTTACTTTACTAATTCAATAATAACATAATGTTCATCCTTTACCACAGAAGTTATCAAATAAAAATTGTTGATCTTATCACTAATTAAGCTGATGAAACAAAGTTTTTGATCTCATTACTGATTAAGCAGATACTGACAGATTATTAAGATTTGAAAGAGCCTCATTACGCGAGTTCAGAAGTAAAGCAATTTATGATAAAACTCAAAGGCCAAGTATGGTAAAAAAAGTCCGTGTAAAGGTGCACGAATGGTGAGCAGCAGCAGCGGCAGCGTTAAGTTAAGTATTAATTATAAGCGATTTTTAACAAAATCTTCAAAAAGACGCTGCAGTAGCATCAATTTTTAGATTGCAAAAAACGCTTCGTTGGTTTCTAAAACATATTTGCTGTCTTCTATATATATCACTTAGACTTGATTACTTTAAATTTCTAATATAAAATAAGTAGATAATGATTTATGGATAAATTTTATTATATAAAACTAGACAATATAAAGGTAGGGGGTTAAAGCCACTACTTTTGTATTGTCTTTTTTTTTTGCTTTATCTTGTTTTATAACATATTGCAGAGCCACTGACTTTATCATAAAGCTACTTTCATATTATCTTTTTTTATTTTTGCAGTGTTAGTATATACAAACCGTATGTAAATAACAAGATATATATGTAGCAGGGGAGAGAAGAAAAATAATATGTCTTATCGCCAAGCCCCTTGATAAATTTTGTAAATATAAAGTTTCATTTAAAAATAAAAATAGGCACTTTCGTTGACAATATAAAATAAACAAACGTAAAATTAGTAAAGTTATTTAAAATATAACACATAAAATAGTACTTATTAGTAAAAATTTAGTTACTTATTAGTAAAAAAATTTCGTACTTATTATTAAAAATTAGTTCTTAGCTGTATTTTATGTGTTATATTTAAAATAAATAAATTATCAAGTACTAGAAGAAATGCCATTGAAACAGTTGGTAAAGTATTAAAGAAATCATATTATTAAAAAATAACAAGAAGCGCTATTCACTTGAACATATTCTTTTAATAAAATTTATTTATTATTTTTTGAAAAATCATCAATTTATTTATTAATAATTATTTTATTTTTTATTATTATTATTATAATTTTTTGGATATTAAACTACAGTTTACAAAACCAAAGTCTAAGAATCAAAAAATAAATAGAACAACAACACATATTAAACAACAAAAACATAAATAAATTTGAAAAGTAAAAAAAGCATTCAACTTAAGCGTTTCTAAAATTAATATACTTTTTATTTAACTGATAGATTAATCATAAGGATATTTTGCATTTTTAGAAATAGTTTTGAGGTAAATTATTTTTTTAGTAATAACTGTCTAAGTTTAGCTTTAAACTCTTTAATCTAAATCTTAGTTTATGCCTTCTTAGTACAATTTTTTAATGATTAAATACTCTCAACTCAGTGGGCACAGGACCTAAGAATGACATTTTTAAACGTCTAAAAGACGTCCAAAACATTCAAAAGACGTTTAAATGTTTTCTTTTTACGTCTCCTGCCTACTGAGAAGGAATCTCACTTTTCTCAAATAAAGGTAGGTGTAAATTAAAAAAAAAAAAAAATTAAACCTTCCTTTATTTAGCTATTTATGATTTTCCACAACTGCATCCAACTTTACTATAATTTTGCAACAAGCTTTTCTATAATTTTATTTTTTTGTTAAAAACTAACATTATGTTTTTATGGTAAGGAAAGATTATTCTCGTTTTTTCAGAATTGTTTTCTTTAAATAAAGGGATCGTCCATAACTTACGCAATGCATATTATAAAAATATAAGTAGGAGAATATTTTGCTCTTTTGAGCGGCGGCTTTCGCTGGACTTGAAGGGTTGTTTATACATGGTTTAATTAAAGACGGGAAAACCTTTAACACTTTTTCTTTTGTTTATTAGTTAAATTTCGCGTTACGTAATTTATGGACGATCCAAAGGGTAAAAAATTCCTTTGACTGAAAGCGTATTTGAAGCGATTTATATTCCCTGTAGTTAGAGTTTTTTACATACGCACCCAAACATCCGCAAGTTACTTGAAATTGCAGTTATTTAAAAAAATTTATGTTTCCATTGACGAAAAGCCTGTCAGGTATTCAAATTCGGTCAAAAATGTTCTGGCTTGCGTTGTTTAAAACCGGAGAAAACTAAAAAAAAAACCAAACAGTTAATGTTTACTCCAAAAAGCTCTTTTCAATTGAAAAATCAGTTTGTTTAATATATTCATTATCTTAAAAATACTAGTTAACTGTTAACAAGAACTTGACTTCTGTTTTATTATCTTGAAAGTTCTTATTAATGATAATTAATAATATAATTAATAACATTTGTAATTTGATAAATAATAATATTTGTAAGATATTACAAATACTAGTTAACTGTTAACAAGAACTGTTAACAAGAATTTGTCACCCTTTTGGGGAAAAGAGTTGGTAAATAATAATTTAATAACTTACTATAAACTCGATATACTTGTAAACACTGCATTGCAAAAGATGTAAGCAGTGAAGTTAAAATTACTTTTTCTTTTTTGAAACGAATTTCTGTGATGATAACAGAAATTAGTAAAATTAGCGGCTATCATCTAATGAAAACGCTATTTAATTTTTTCTTTGTTAAAATATTTTATTATTATCACGCTTTATAAATGGCGAAAAACTTCTGTGCTAAAATTTAATAAAAATTAAATAAAAATTTAATTTTTCATAAAGCAAAATATGTTAGCCAAAAATTCGTAGCGCTTGTGTTTGAAAAAAATGCATAGAAACATTTAGTTTTGACTATGTTTAAACGTACTATTTTTGTGTAAAGTAAGGATGCTCAAATTACCCAGTGTTTTTATTGACTTACCCAGTTTAGAGTCCTAAAGTTGCAGTAGCTTTAATTACTTTTTGAATAAAGG